AAGGGAAGACATGGGTGAATTTAGAGGCAGAAATTTATGATCAGAGGTCGAATAGATCTGTGTTGCTTGGAAATCAAGATATGGATTATATTGAGAGAAAATTAGTAAATCGCATAGAAAATGTCAATGAAATTTTATAGATGGCATTTTAAAACTGGTAAAAGGGGAGTAAGAAATTAATCTTGGAAGTTTGATACTGGAATCGAGAAGCAAAAGTGAAAAGGGGGGAAAGTAACCTGCAGATTAAATGATAAAATTTCTTGGTCCTGAGAGATATATATTCACACAGAAAGCAATATGAGTAATTACATTATGAGCAATTTTGGCTAGGTGGGAAGCTAAAAGGTAGTTAAATATATGTAGCTATAAATTTCATAAAGGTCAATGAAGAATAATAATATTAGATGCTTTGGCTCTTATGGTTTCTATATAGAGCTTAAATATGAGTGAATCACTATATTGATTATATAAACAAGATTAGACTTAACAATGTCTTTTTACCTGTAAAAGTGGGGATCTTTTAGAAATGTATTGAGCTGGCCTAGAGCTTCTGTGTGGGGAGGTGCGTATGGCTAAGCTACCTTTATGATGAAATTAGAATTGCTTATGATGAGTACTGGTTAGAGGCATACGCAGGTGAAAGAATATATAGAGACTTTATAGATAGCACTTTAAAAGCCAGTAAAAAGAATGAAAGAAATGAATTCCTAGATTCACAAGGCTATAAATACAGTATATCTATTTGGTATTGAGCGAATAATACCTGGTGGCAGCGTGAAGGGAGGAAATGCATCCAAAGGGTGGACTTGGGTTTAGGGAAAATAAACAAAGGACACTGGGTGGACGCGAGAGAGACCATACAGTATCTCTCTATTTAAATCCATAAGGGATGACTAGAAGGTAGACCCTTGTTCACTAGAAGAGAGGCCAGTTTTGGATAAACCACGCGTATCCCTCCTTGTTGTTGAGATTCAAGCAAAGAGCTTGACCTGCTTTGATTCAAGAAAGCACTTCAAGAAAGCACTGCTCTGATTCAAGAAAGCACTTAACACACACTAGTCATGCCATAAATGCTAAGAGATCCTGAGAATAAATTGAGAATTGCAATGACAATTTAAGATGCATTAGTGGACCAAAAGGATTCTAATTAGTTATTTAAATAGGGCAGGTATGTAAACCTGGCCCTGGCTTACTTAATGTAGGATGACTACCAGATGCTGTCTCTTGACAGGTATCAAGTCACTATTACAGTGGTGCCTCGCAAGACGAGCACCCCGTTTAATGACGAAATCGCATCACGCTGAACTTTTTGCGATCGCAAAAGCGATCGCTTTACAATGTTTCCTATGGGGGAATTTCACTTTGCGATGATCGCAAAATGACAATTTTCGGCCAGCTGGTCAGCGGTTTCAAAATGGCTGCCGGGTAAAAAAAAAAAGGCTCCCCGCTCTTTTCTGGAATGGATTCCTTGCTGTACAGGCAGCGAAAATGGCCGCACTATGGAGGATCTTCACTGGACGGTGAGTCTCAAGCCCATAGGAATACATTAATTGGGTTTTAATGCATTTCTATGGGCTTTTTTATTTCGCATTACGAAGTTTTCATTCTACAGCGATTTCGCTCGAACGAATTAACGTCGTAATGCGAGGCACCACTGTATGAGTTTCTGTTATGGATGTCATAGCTATTGCAGACTGGAGCACAATTTTCTGAGGGCTTTATCACACATAGAAGACATCAGTGGATGCTGCAATTAGTGAAGAATGAACCTCTATGTATGAACAGACCTTTTAATTGTGAGTAAATTGGTGGGAGCATACATACGAGTCTGCAGACTGTACTTAGCATGTAACCACAATCTGAAATACTTAGCAGATATCATTCCTTCCCCCCCCCTTAATTGCTGTCCCAGTAGAATGACTGGGTGCAAAAGAATACAGAAGCCTCACACCTTTAACAGTTGTGTAGAAGAGGAAGTTCTGACAGGAGAATTTTTTTTAACAAAGCTGGCATCCCCTTTTCCACAGGATGATTGCAATTGTGAGGCCCCTTTCATCTTTTGCACCTGGCTACCATATGCCCTATATTTTCCTTTAAATCAACTCTGCTCCTTCCTGTCCCTCCATCAGTGGTTCCCAACCTTGAGCAATCGACGTGTTCTTGGATGGCAACTCCCAGAAGCCTTCACCACTAGCTGTGCTGCCTGGGTTTCCTAAACTTCTGAAAGCTGCCAAACACTAATTTTCCTCTATTAAAACTAGAAGCACACTTCGCAACACAGTGGGAAGCATATTCTAAGCATGCTTAATGCTGCTGGTTTTTAGGTATGTGGTTTTTTTGTTTTTTGTTTTTGTATTAGAAATACTCAAATGGTGCATTAATATCTAGTGCAGAGAGATAGATAAAACTTGGAGAAATGTGAGTCCAGATCAGTGACTCCTGCAGAGAAATGACAGACCGCCTCTTTCAAGGGTGGGTATTCTAGGCTCCTAATGGCCTTTAATTATGCAACAAATGGTTTCCTGTGTCACACCAGTGTACACTGGCCCATTGTTTGGAGACCATAGAAAGTAGACTTTGCTGACCTCTAGCTCCTGGAAGTCATCCTCATCTTCCACGTCATAGGAAAGGGTATGGATCTTGATCTCATCTGTAGACAGAGTGACAAATTTGCCATCAGGGTAATCCAGGCTGCTTTTGGTGGGTGACCTGTCCTCAATGAAGGTTGTTTCACAGCATTCTGAATTCATGCTATCTCCCCAGGACCGCAGCATATTCTCTGAATACAATATGATGTTGGGGTGATAGCAGGCCTCCACTGTCTGTGGTAAAGTATTGGGGTCAAGAAGCTGTTGCACTGGGTCATTCCTGGGGTAGTTTGGAGAATAGAGAGTCCCAATCTGCCGACTCTGGTATTGGGGGGTCTGATACACCGACACCAGGCCCTCCCTGCCCTCAGGGGTCAAGTTCCTTGTGTTAATCAACCCATTCATCTTCTTGGTTTCAACCTCCTTGTTGTGCTTGAGAGTGCCGCTCTTCTGCTCAACTAAGCCATCCATCCTGTATTCCTTTCCCTCTCCTGGCTTCTTGAATTTGAGATGATTATCAGATGGGGTTAGTTGATTTCATTTTCCTGAGGCAGAAGGGGGAGAAGAATGCAAATTACCATGAAAGAAATCACCATTCAGCTCTCTGATGATCATTTGATAAAAGCTCTAAGCAGCTGAAAATAAATTTAGCCCTCCGCCTTTCATATGGAGCATTTTGATACAGATGGTGATTATTAATAAACTGGAGATAGTGTTGAGAATTATTTCAGAACCAAATAAAGAAATCTGTCACATCACTAGAGAGTTGGTGTAACATTGTGACTAAGAGATAGAAGAATGACCCATAAAGCCTCTGGTTAAATCTCATTTCTGCTATCTATGTTTATAGTAAGTGAGTTAAGGCATGTCCTTCACATGGATCAGCAAAGAGCAAATTAAAATATGCTCCCTTCCTTGTTGCTATATGTCCACATACATTTTTCTCAACCAATTCTTTTTGAAAAAGTGGAAAGGAAAATACTGCACAGGAAGTGGAATCCGTAAATGCCATCATGCTTTGCATTATTTATTTTAAAAGGACTATATTTTTGAAGTTTGCTAACCCAGACTTAATATTGTTAATATTCATAACAAATAAACATCAGTATAAAAGTGGGAGTTCCTAAAAAAGATATACAAAAAAAGACAGCAATAAAACAGACAATCATAATAATTTGTAGTCATTAAAACAAGTATACTGTTTGTATAATTGTTGATAATTTGTATAATTTCAGATAATCGTATACGTTTTCTGGTAGTTACTCTTCAAAAGTGGTTAATGAGATATACTAATTCTGTTCTCCTGCTAAAAACAGGGATTCTCAGCTAATGAGTCAGCCTTCCCTCAAAGAAAGGCATATTGTTTGAAAAAATACATTCAATGTTGTTATATATAGGAAAATACAATAGTGCTGAGGTAAATGGTTTATTACACCTTCCAGTGTCAGGTGGCAGAGCCCCTGTCATCTTTCCGTCAGCTTTCCTTATCTCTGAGTTATGCTGTAGGCTAGAATTGGGTAGGATTTGGTGTCACTGTAATAATAAGTGCATGCTGTTAAGTCACATACTGACTCATGGTGACCCTGAAGTACATAATCCATGATGATTTTTTGAAAAATAGGCTGAATTTTAAATTTTACATACCTTCAGTTTGGATTTAGTAATAAGATTCCAAATAAAATTAGTAGCAGAATCAGATTTGAAGCGCTACAGTCCCCTAACTTGGTTTAAGGATGAGAAAGAGAGGTTACCTACCTGTAACTCTGGTTCTTTGAGTGGTTCTCTGTGAATTCACACTAATAGGTTAAGTCTGTACTTGCGCAGAGATTTCCGGAATATTCTAGAGCTTAAGCTGTTAAGAAATGCCCTGCCCCCTCAGCCCACAAGGTCCACCCGCCCTCAGATTTACCTCAGTTCTGGTAACAGCCCACTGCTGCATCAGTAGATACAGAAGTGACGGACAGAGGGGAGGACGGGTGGGAAGTGTGAATTCACAGAGAACCACTCAAAGAACCATGGTTACAGGTAAGTAACCTCTCTTTCTTCTTCGTGGTCTCTGTGAATGCACACTAATGGATGACTGACAAGCTTACCTCAGAGGAGGAGGGACATCACTGAAGGATAGATGAGAGAACTGCCCTCCTGAAGGAGACATCTGCCTTTGCTCTCAAGTCCAGCGAAGACCAGTGGCGGCCTTACAAATATCTGGAATCGCTGAAGGATAGATGAGAGAACTGCCCTCCCGAAGGAGACATCTGCCTTTGCTCTCAGGTCCAGTGAATATCTGGAATCAGGATGCCATGCAAGAAAGCTGCAGAGGTAGCAGTGGCTCTAGCTGAGTATGCCTTGACGTTGACAGGTAAAGATTTCCTGGCGAGCTGGTTGTTGTTGTTGTTTAGTCATTTAGTCGTGTCCGACTCTTCGTGACCCCATGGACCAGAGCACGCCAGGCCGTCCTGTCTTCCACTGCCTCCCGGAGTTGTGTCAAATTCATGTTGGTGGCTTCAATGACACTGTCCAATCATCTCATCCTCTGTCGTCCCCTTCTTCGCTTGCCCTCACACTTTCCTAACATCAGGGTCTTTTCCAGGGAGTCTTCTCTTCTCA